ATAATTAGCCTGTCAGTGCAGGGTGTCCCCTCACTGGCCTGCTCATCACTGGCCCCCGAGCCTGTTTCGTGTAAGTGAAAACAGATTTCCTGACAAGGAGCAAGATCATAAACTTGTTCAAATGTTCCCAAATAAAAAGAGTGGTTTTAACTTTCCCCTCTCAGCAAACTAAATTGTGAGGAGACCTCTAGATTGTTCTATCATTGCAGGAAGGGTTTAGGAGCCTGAGGCTCCTGGTTGCTGGGAAGCTTAGGGGAGAGGGGCTTTGGGAGGCCTCTGGTTTAGCCCACCCCCACTGCCATCTGGAACTCTTTTTCTTAGTGAAGCCCCAGCCCCCAGCCCTAGGCTCAGTAAGAACAGAATTCCCACTGGCCTTCTGGCCAGTCTTCCCTAAGGCTGAGGCCCAGGCCTAGAGGTGGTTCTCTGTGTCACTGTTTTTGGAGGTTGCACCAATGGAAGATGGCTCCTACTTTACAAGCCCTTTGTCCTACCTGAAAGCTTCTTTAGCTGAACACTTTTCTTCAAACCTGTTGAAGCAACCATGGATGCCCCCAGAAGTAGATTCTACCAGGAGCTGAGTTTCCTGGGAGAGAGCAAGCCTGCCCGTTGCTGGGGGTCTTGACCAGGAAAACTTGGCCTGCAGCTGCTTCGTACTAAGGAGAGGCCCTGCCTCATGAGCCCCAACCCTCCTGTCTGCTGGAGCTCTGGGTGTGGTAGGTGCCTTCTTCCTTGCTAGGCTCTGGGCAAGAGGTGTGATTTTGTGTCATCTTCTTGGTACTGCATCATGGTGTGCGGCACAGGGCCTGGCACACAGTAGGTCTTTCATATGGACTTGTTGAAATGACAGATGAATAGATGGATGAACAGATGGAAAAGCTGAGAAGGAAACAAGCTGTGTCCATGGCAGGAGCAGATCACGTCCTCAGGGGCTGAGAAACAGTGTTGTGCCCTGAGCCCTGCTCTGATAGGGCAGGGACACCATAGGTCTGGTCTGACAGATGGCAGATTCTGGGATGTTTAGGGTTCTTGGAAGAGGCTGGAAGAACTGACAGCTTGCTTGCTAGCTCTGAGTATCATCAGAGGCCCTATCGCCCTGTCTGCAGAGAGACTGGCCCAGGCTTGCCCTGAGAAGTATGTTTTGGCCTGGAAGGCCTATGGGGCTGTGTTGGTCCCATGCCTTTTCTTTCTGTAGATGGGCATAATCTCCCTCGAGAACTCCTCAAAATGAGATGGGAAACACCCATCTGAGTGGGTCCTGCTGTGCTGGTGCTGGGGTGGCAAGTGCTGCAGCCTGGACATGCCATCTAAGCAAAAGAAAGGGGCAAAAGACGTGTGGAACCTAAGAACAGAGGACTTTCCAAGCTCTGGGGCAGCAACAGGTGCTTGTGACCGTGTGGCCGGCTCCCTGCTAACACTTGCTGGCCTGGGTCTGCTGCTGTTTCCTGCTTTGGAAAGGCCTTGGCCCCAAGCCCTCTGGACCCCTGTGGGTTGAGTGGAAGTCAAAATGTTATCTGGACTTTGGAATTTACATATGTGCCCAGAGACCTCAGCCATGCATGCGATCCCCATGGTATTGCACCAACATGGGGGGTGTGGAGGCCAGCTGGTTTTTCTTCCTTCCTTATGGGACCCTCTCAAGACTCCCTTGGGTGTGGGTAGGGACATGAGGGCTGCAGAGGGGATGTCAGGATTGTAGAGGACAGGTCGGGGGCTTTTAGCTGTGCTGATTCCCAGGCCACATGGCAGTCTCGCCCCATCCCGTAGCTGGTGTGACCCATCTGCTGTGCCTTTAGCCACCAGTCTGGCTTTGTGTTATTGCTGGAGCTGGTCTGAGCTCTTAGTGAAGAGGGTGGTGAAGGAAGAGGGCCTGATGCTGACCAGGAAAGCTCATGCCCCTGCAACCCCACCTTCAGGGGCCTAGGAGCCTTGCTGCTGCCTCCAGTTTCTGTGCTTCTGGGGCTTCCCCTATCTCAGTCTGTCAGAGAGGCCCTATATGCCTGCCAGCCTCTCTTGTGGGTTCCAGGACAGTGTAAGGGGAGAAAGGCACATCTGTGGCTTTGGAACCCTGTCAGATGCCCTCCTTCGAGTGGGGGCGGTAGGTGGATGCAGAGCCCTCAGGGAAGCCCCAGTCCACCCCAGGGCTGCGTCCCAAGGAAGCTTCAGGGACTCCTGCTAGAGCCATTGGGACAGCTTCCTGGGTCCTGAGGAGCTGCCAGGTGGGAGAGCCCTGGGACCCCTAGCCTATTTCCCCTATGTCCAGCCTGGGGCTCTGCCTTGTTCCCATACATCAGGGTCACTGCCAGCCAGTAGGGCATGGAGAAGCCAGGAAGCCGAGGATGGTGAAGCCTCCTTCCTGCCTGGGACTGATGGGGAGGGTCTGGGGCACTTTGGTGTTCCCTGGGCCCTGCCCAGGTTGTAGTCCAAAAATGTTTTCATTTGCCTCCTGTGAACCCTGCCCTGGGCTCATGGCATCTGTTTCACAAATGAGGACATGAAGTCTCTGCTCTCCTCTCTCCCAAGTTTGTGGTACTCAGGCCTCCTGGTCCCTTTGCCAGCTGTACTCTGGTCCTAGGTAGGTCCTGAGCTAGTCTCAGCCTTTGATGATCCACCAGCCAACTGTCTTTGCGGGGCCTGTCCATCTAGAAGGCTGGCCAGGCGTGGGCAGTGGGGAGGGCTTATGGGCCATGGGTGTCAGGTAAGGCACTGAAAGCCCAAGCCTGGGTCCTTTGGCTCTTAGAAGAGAGAAGTGCTGGCTTGTCACTGGACGACAGAGGGTGAGATGAGGGAGGCAGTAGGAGGCTGTGTGGGGGCCAAGACCCCTAAATTCCTGGCATGTATTTGGAAGGTTGTGGGGAGCCATTCAAGTCATTCTCCTGGCCACTGCCTCTATTTCCTTAGTTGGCACTTAGGGGCCCATCCCCACCTTGTCGTATACTCTGGTGGCTGCAGACCCCGGAAACACTGTGGGCTAATTGGGCTGGGTCTCTGGCAGGCTCAGTGTCCAGATGACCCTTTGCTGGTGGAACTGGCCTCTCCCCGGCTGCCCAGCCAACCCCCGGCAACCTTGCCTGGGCTGGGGACGAACAATTAAAGCCCCCTGGTCCCCAATTGGTTTGTGGTATTAAAAACGAATTGCGATCAGCTGGGTTGTCATTTCTACCTGATAAAACATCACTTTTATTGATCGTGCTCACTCAGTGCCATCGTTTATCTTGCTTCAGCATTTCACATAATGGCTCATTTGTCTTGATCAAAGTGTAGTCTTGTGTGTTTAACCCTTGGGGCTCCACTGCTGTGCCCAGCCCCCCACAACTGTCCTTCCCCGGGCCTTGCCCTTGCTCAGGCCCTGTTCTAGGGGCAGGAGGTTCTAGAAGGCAAGGACCACTCTGAGTGAGATAAGGTGGGGAAAAAGGGGGAGGGGACACTGGGGACTTTGGGCCAGACCAGGCTCTTGTCCTATCCCTGGACCCATAGATCCTCCCTGCAGGGCTTCTAGGGGAAATAGGATTTGGCCAGGGCTTACCTAAGCCTGCCGTGTTCCTTACCTGGCTGGGCTCCGGCAGGCATCTGCCTTCTGGACTCAGCCCACATGCCCACATTCCTGGGCCCACCAGTGGCCCCTTCAGCCAGAGCCCTCCACTCCCACCACTTTCTGAAACTTAGCCCTGTCTGTGGCCCGTAGGCCCTGGAGTTTTCTCTTGGTGTCAACTTGACTCGTTTGGCCATCACCCAAGGTGACAGGGAGAGTCCCCAGTTTTACTGTAGACCTTTGCTCAGTTCCCTCAGGGGCACCCATTGTCCAGAGCAGCCATGTTCTCAGGATCCTGGTGACCCAGCTTCAGCCAACCTCCCACACCAGCACGAGCCCTACTTCCTGCTCCACTACCCCAGCTGCTCCTCCACTGCTCTGCCGTGAGCTCCTCCACAACCCAGCCCAGGCGAACCTCCTGCTTTGTTGAGAAGCCGGTGGGGTGTCCAGTCCTGGCCCCCTAGCCCTGACCTTGTTCTGGCCTGGACTCTGTCCCAGAAAATACTGCAGTTACTGAAGTTGGGTTCTCCCAAGCCCACAGGGGTCTCTGGCCCTACCCAGTCCTCTCTCTCTCCCCCCTAGAGTTCCTCAGCTAGCAAGTTGGGACAACAGCCCCCAGTCGGCTCCAGGGCTTCCATTGAGCCCATCCTTGCCTCTCAGCATCCTAGGCCTTGAAACTCTGGGTAGCCAAGTCCAGAAACCACTCTGCAAACTTACCTGCACAGAGGGGCTACTGACTGAGGGACTGAAGAATCCGAGGGCAGAGCTTTCTGGCCTCAGGCACTGCTGAATCCAGGCGCTTAGACAAGGCATAGGGCAGTGGCTGCGCATCTGCCTTCCAGTAAGCATCCCCAACAAACACAGGCTTCTTCTGGGCCTGCAGCTGCCTGGGTGGGGGCTCCCTCTAGCTGGGGACACATTGTGCCCCTTTTCTCAAAAGACACCCCAGGCCTTGGGCTGCTTTCAGGGCTGTGTGCTCCTCTGCTGACCAGTCAGGACTGTTGTTTGTCTGTCATGCCCAGCACAGCTGTCAGTGGGGAGAATGTTTGCGGGCCGAGTTTCATCATGGCCTCCCCTGGGAGTGCAGCTGCTGTCCAAAAGCACTCAAGTGGGCTCTGGGGACTACCCTGGCCCTTGTTCCTGTGCTTTGCAGAAGCTGACTGTACCCTCTTTCTCTCCACCGCGGCCACATGGACTGGCTTAGGCTGGACAGGTGATCAAGCTGAGTCACAGGCACCCTCATCCTCGTGGGGAGCTCCAGGCCTAAGCCAACCAAACACACCCTACTCACATGTCCCCTCTTGGCCTAAGGCTCAGTGCTCTTCTCAGGCTAATGCAGGGGGTGACTGTGGAGGCCCAGAAGAGCCATTTTGGGACATAGACACTCCAGCTGAGACCCCTAGAGCTCAGAGGCTCTCCAGGAAGTGACTGTGTGACACTTGGCACAGTCAGGATTCTTGACTATGGAAAACTGTACAATAGTTCATATATTTATTCTTAAGCAAGTTATCAATAAAAAATTTAATACTAAAATGCCTTTACATAGTTTGCTGTTCATAAAACCTTTGTGTTTTTGTTTTGTTTTTAGTGTTTACATTGAAAAAAAATTCCAACCATCCTCTTAGTTTACACATTTACAAGAATCGTGCTTTCGCCACGTTTAACCACGAATAAAGGGCAGGGGTCATACCATTCATACACATACAGAAAGGAGAAAGGGGAAGAGAGAGCTACAGGACATGGGGGGGGGACCAGCAGAGGGACAAGAGACAAGGCTGCTAGGGAGGGCCCTTCCTCCTGGCTCCTACTCAGTGCTTGGGGCTAAACGGCCCTGACTTGAGCCGTCGTGCCCAGCTGCATTCTTCTTGAGACATTTTTCTGATTCCCCAGCCTTGGGCAGGGCCATGGCTGGTCATCTTCCTGACACCCACCAGGAGCAAATATTGCACTCGTGCCAAGACAAAGGGTAAACTCAAGGTGGGAGCAGGAAGCTACATGCAGGGGTCCTCTATCACAAAGTCGCCCCTCCTGCCTCAAGTTTCCTGTGCAGCCACCATGAGTGGCCCTTGGGTGGCCAGAAGCAGGCAAAAGTAACAGGCGCCGGGGTCGGGGTCTGGGGCCCCCACGACCCGTGCTTCTGAGGGACCTAGCTGTGGCTCACGCGGAACTCACCCAGAGCAGCTGCCGCTTGCAGGGACTTTCCTGCATCTCCCTGTGGGCCAGGACAGCCTGTCGAGGACAGACATGGGGAGCCAGGGGCTCTCAACACTTTTCTCAGGATGAGGGCTCAGGCTGCAGGTCTGGCTGGCCCTGTTTGTCCTTGTCAGCCAAGGGAGAAGGGAAGGGGTGCCAAGTTGTCCTTGGTTTCTGGGGTTACTGGGGCAGAGCCCCAGAGGTGCTCCCTGAACCAGAGTCTAGAGCGTGGGCACAGGCAGTCAGGAGAGACCCTTGCTGTCCACTCCAGGCACTACCACAACAGGCCATCTGGTGGCTGCAAAGAAGGCCCAGAAACCTCTTTGGGGCCCAGGGCCAGCGTGGCGATGGCAGACCTAGCCTTATCCCCCAGGCCCCACACCTTTGGCCAGGCCTTGCCATTGTCCCAAGCTCTGAGCAGGCCAAAGATGGTGGCTAGAGTTTTGGGCAGTGGTGATGTTGTTTGGGGAGATGGATTGAGTGGGTCTATGGACCAGCCCAAAGAGGGCAGAGCCATTCTGCTGCTCTCAGCAAAGGGCATTTGGGTGAGGAAGCTTCACGCCATTCTGCTTCCCACAGAGTCAGGGGCTGGGGAGGGCAGACAGTGTGAGGGGCCAGCCCCTCCCTCTCTGGGGGGAGGATAACTCCTCAGACAAACTGGCCGTGGAAACTGAAATCAGATGTAAGCTGAAATACTCAAGAAATAAAATCAAAACATTACTTGTTTTCTAATCAATGTTTAAAATACTTGTTTGTCTTTGTTTCATTTTAAACAGAGGTAAGAGACACATGGCTGCTGTCATACTCCAGCTAGGGGCCGGCTGGTCCTGGGCTGCAGGTGACATGGAGAACCCCCTCTCTGGCTGTGGGGCCCTCATCATGGCTCCCTGCCCAGGACTTCCTTGTCTAGGAGATGTACTGGCAGGAAATAAATGTGAGTGTGAGTTTCCTCTTACACAGCAGCCCCCCAGGAGATTAGAGCATGTCCCTGAGGGTCCACCTGACCCTCCTGTGGCCTTTGGCCTCTGCCCCGACTCCAAGCTGCTTCTGTTATCACAGATGCCCCAGTTGGAACTCAGCGAGGCTGAGAACAGTGCATTTCCAAAGAAACCCTAAACAGTCCCTACAGACACACGCACCCTTGTCATTTGGATGGGGAAAAATCCTTTCCCACTTTTTTCCCATAAAACTTCCCCACACAAATACAATATTTACATAGAGAAATAAATAGACAACACACCTGATTTCTGCTTTCCCTGGTGGGAGACAGTCGGAGGTACTAGGGAAATATGGCTTGGATTCTAATCTCTCGTGAACTGCAGAAAACAAGAGGGTCCACAGATGGGGCAGGCTGCAGCCTGGCAGGGGCACAGCAGGACCCTCTGCAGCAGAGGGGATGGACAGGGCTCTGTGGCCGGGAAGCTCTCTCTTTCCATGGACATTGCGAGAGCTTTGCCCGTGCCTGCCCCACCCCCCCCAACAGGCTCTGTCTGACCTCTCGCCTCTATACGCTGTGTGCCAAGCGGGCTCAGCACAGGATGGGCACACCGTCAGCTGTCACCAGGCGCCCTGTGGTGGGGTCATAGGTGCCTGCTAGGTAGTAGAGGTCCTGCCGGCCCTGGCGCTTCCGGCTCCGGGCCATCTGCTCGTACTGCTCGCGCCCCACGACCTGGCACTTGTGGGAGATGGTCTGCACATCATTCTCATCCTCGTGGCAGGACTGATACAGCGCGTTCTGTGGGGTGAGGCACGCATGGTGTTGGTGGCCTGCCTCGGCCAGTGAGCCCCCATGTCCCTGGGGAAAGACTCCTTGCCCTGGAATAGTCACTGGACAAACTACTAACTGTGTGGCTGGGAAGCCAGTGCCAGGCCCCCGAATGGCCTGTCAGAGCTGGGAAAATACTTGTTTCCCTAAAGACAGACCCATGTGTGCTATGTGAACCCACAGTTTCTTCTCAGGGAAGTACACAAGGCAGGACACTGCTGGAGACATTCTGACTTGTGCCCACCATGGGCAGGAAGCAGAGGGCCCAGGTGGGCAGGAGGGGCTGTCAGGGAGGCCAGGAGTGACTGCACCTGCTGGGCTAAGCACTGCTGTGGTCACAGCCCTCCACAGGGACATTGTCACCCTCTCTGTAGGAGGTGTGGCTACATGGCTGCCACCTTGGGTGGGGGGAGGCTGCTCTTGGTGGTGCTCTCTTGGCTTGGTCTGTGGCCCTGTCCCTCTGCTCCTGCTCACCTTGCTGTCCCTGCCCAGTTGTGCTCACCTTGCCATCACACTGCCGTTTGCCCAGCTTGGTTTCCTCGGGGTGGTAGAACCATTTGACCTTCACCACCATGTTGCTGCCCCACGACTCCCACATGCTCTCGATGCGGCCTATGTAGGGCAGGTTGGGCCGCCCGGCAGACAGGAAGACTGCACAGTCCCCGACACGCAGTGTCTCCTTGCCCCTCACGATGGCCTTATAGAACAGCTTCCTTGCCTTCCCCTTCATGCCGCGCCGCTGTGGGAGACATGGGGCAGGGCCATGAGGGGTCTTGGGGACAGGTGGTGGCCAGGAAAGGATGTGTCCTGCGTGTGTGTGCACACAGAGAGGCCAAGGCACTGGCGTATGACCACATCCACAAGGGCAAGAAACAGCATTCCACGGCTGAAGGAAGGCTCTCATAGCCACCGTGCCAGAGGCGGGGGGCCATGCCTGGGTGTTCACAGTGCCTCAATCACAGCACTTAGGGTGACACTGAACAATCTGGGGGCAGAGACACAGGCTGGGATGTTTCCCAGTGTCATTTACAGGAGCTGCCTTATGGCACTCACAGAGCACAGCCCTGCATCCCCACACTGGGGTCCTCTCGGCCCTCCCAGTGCAGAAAGATGCTTCCACAAAATGGCCAAGTGATGGGGCTCTGCGCCAACAAAGCCAGGCACATGCCCTGGCGTGAGAGCCACTGCTGCATCCACACAGGTGGGGAGGACACGTGGGGTGGGGGGAGAGTTTTCGTTCTTGAGTTCTCCACATTTTTACTTGGGATAGAACAGAAATACAAAAGGAGGGAGGCAGCTGGGCGTCCTCAGGCATCACGCGCTCCGAGCCTCCGAGGAGACCAGCACCTACCTGTGTGGGGTTCCCTGACCACTTCCAGAGCTGCCGGGCAGGCAGGAAGGCTGAGATCTTTGGCCGGTTTTCCACAGAGGGCAGCCGCTGCCTCCGGGAAAGCTCTTTGGCTTTGGAGAAGCTCAGGGCCTCCTTGCACTTCAGTCTGGGTTTGCCTCCACTAGGGCCGGCGCCCACACCCGAGGCCACTGCAGGCCGGGACAGGAAGCAGCGCTGGGTGTGCGTGTGAGGGCCGCCCCCCTTGGCGCGCAGAGCCTCAGGCTGGGCCAGCAGAGTGGGCACGGGGTGGGAGAGGCAGGTCTGCAGGAGCAGGGCAGGGTCCTCGTCATCTGAGCTGTAGGATGAGTCCTCGTTGTCAGAGGAGCAGAGGCTGGAGGTGGACACGGAGCCTGAGGAGGAGGTGGTGGAGGAACCAGACGAAGAGGATGACACAGATAGGCGGGTGAGGAAGCGTGAGGGCATACCAGTGGCCAGCCCTGGCCCGTCTTCATCCTCATCTGAGTAGGAGCTGTGGCAGTCGCTGTCACAGGGTAGGGGGTACTCAGCCTGACCCGTGAACTTGCGGAGTGTCAGCCCCATGGGCAGCGGGTGGACAGGTGCCCGCCCTTTCCTGTCCTTGCCCACTAGGGCTGGGTGTGCATAGCTGGGGCTGGGCAGGGCACGCCCCAGCTTTGGGCTAAAGTCTTTGTCCCCAGTCAGCAGTGCCTTGCAGTTCTTATTCTTGGGAGAGGTCACGCCTTCACGGTCCAGCTTGACTAGGAACTCGCTGCCCGCCCTTCGCCGCCCGCCCTTCTCAGCCTCTATCCGCTCAGCCCTCTTGGCTCGAAGCAGCTTATGGGCACCCCCAGGCAAGCCCGGGCCGGCCCCACTGACAAAGGGCGCATAGGAGCTGGCCAGGCTGCTGAAGGAGTCTGCGCGGAAGCCATTGCCGAACACGGGTGTGGCCACACTGTGCACAGGAAACAGAGCATCATGGGCTCGCAGCTTCTTGGTGCTGCCGTTGAGTTGGAAGAGGTTCTGCAGCACCCCCGGCCCCTTGCTCGTTGTGGCTGCGGCCACTGCTTTCCGCTTGGTCTGGGCCACTGCCGACCAGCTCAGAAGGGGGCTGCCCTGACGGCCCAGGAAGTGGTCTGAGGCCCCTGCGGAGGGCTTGGCACCTGAGGTTAGGAGTTCGGTTTTGCCTGTGTGAGGAGGCCAGGGAGAGTCAGCCCCAGCTGAGCACAGAGAGCTGCCCCTGTGCTCCCCTCCCCGTGTGCCACTAGGCTCCCCATGCCCTAGATGGTGCCTCCCCTGACCCCGGTTTTCAGCAGTCCTGCAAATACCAGTTTTGTCTTTACTAAGGGATTTCTTCCCAAGGGGCTTTGAGGCTTCAGAGCTGTCCTGCGCTTTGGGGGACAGGCTGGGGGCGGTGGCCTTGCTGGGTGGGGGGGCCTCGCTGGACACCTTCTTGGGCTTCCGGCAGCTACTGGACACCAGCAGGGCTGGGGAGGGCTCTGTGCCTGCAGACAAGTGGGAAGAGGGGCTTAAGGGCCATGGCTGCACAATGACCACCAGCTCTTGCCCCCCTTCTTGGGAGCCTGTCTGGACCTGGTGGTGGCCCAGGCAGGAGTCCCCCAATAGGGCCTGGGGTGCTCACACTGGATCTTGAAATCTGGGGGCAGGAGCCTGACGTTGGAGACAGCGATGTGGCCTGTGTCCCCGTCATCGAACTCCACCACAACAGAGTCCAGGTCCTCCTCCTCGTCACCAGAGGTGCCTGTGGGTAGTGCACCTGAGCACACAGCTAGCCAGAGAGGGGCTGCCACACCCAGACCAGGAGGGCAGAGGTGAACTCCAGGGCTCTCTCTGAGACTTTCTGCCCTGGAGTTGCCCTAGCAGCCAGCATGCCCACAACCTTGGCCTAACTTGGCCACTCCCTGCCTTCCACCAAGCCTCTGGGCCACTCTGGACACCAGCAGGGCTGGGGAGGGCCTTCACCTTCCCTCCTTGGACTGTTGCCTAGGAGGTTTTGCCCAGGGGAGCTGGTGCCACGTGATGGATTTGGCGACCCCAGCAGTGGGGGGTCTGGGCCCCTCCATGCCTGTCCTCTCTGCTCTCCCTGTGCCACGCACCCCTCACTTTCATAGCAAACGTGGGGGGCTGACTGCTGTTTGCTCTGTCTAAGCAGAGAGCTGGTTCTACCTAGGACGGCCTCCATGGCAGGGAGGGGTGGGACAGGAGGGCCTGGAAGCTGGACTGTGAGGGCAGGGCCCTCAGGCACTCTGTGGGCCTCAGGGGCCTGCCTGGCCGCTGTTGGTGTGGCGTACCTCGGATTACATTGCCCGGGTACAGACAGCGGGACTTCTGGCTCCAGTATGCGCAGACCCGAGTGCCGGGTGGGAGGTACCGGCTAGACTGTGGCCGCACATCAAGAACCTGCAGGGACCAGTGAGCAGTGCCGTGAGCAGGAAGGAGGGCCTCTCCTGGTGCCCCAGAGCCTGCCCCGGCAGCTGGGCCTCACCGCTTCCTGCAGGAGCTGCTCCAGTGAGTAGACCCGCTGCCGGTTACCCCTCTCACCCTCGATGACGATGCTGTAGCTGTGGGGGAGGAATGCAGGGCATGAGGGTCTGGGCACTGCAAGGCCCGCCGGCCCATTCCTGCCCACCCTGGCCTGGGCTCACATGTCGGGTGCCTGCAGGGTCCGCACGCTGCCCGCGTACAGCAGGCTGTCCTCCTTGGCGATCAACACTGGCAGCCCATCCTGCAAGTCCTCCTTGTGGATGGTACAGGAGCGTGCTGCGGGTGGAAAGTGTCAGTGGCCAGCCCAACCCACCAGCCCTCCAGGCGGCCTGAGTCCTCCCATCGCTGCTCACCCAGGGCAGTGCTCTGCTCCACGCTCAGCGGGCCATTGACCGCTTCCTCATCCTCTTCCTCCTCATCTGAGAAGCTGCTGTTGTCATCAAACTCGAAATCGTCCTCCACAGCGAAGCTCTCCAGCAGGCGGCTCACAGCCCGGCCCTTGCCCTGGGGGCCAGAGGGGTCAGGCACATGGGGGGCAGGGTGGCCCAGCTAGCTCTGGGGTGGGGTCGGGAGTACTACCTGCTTGCGGACTGTCTTGCCCTTCACTTTGCCCAGCTTCCTGCCCTTGCCCAGGATGGCCTTGGCGTTGCGGGCGGCCAGGGCGATGGACAGGGCCCCGTTCTTCCGCTGTGCATGGGAGTGGGCAGAGAACGGCCAAAGTGAGGGTGGCCACAGCCCCCTACCCACAGTTGCCCAGGTATAACTCAGGCTGACCCAGGGATGGGGGCAGCATGTAGGGCTGCAGCCTGGTAAGGCCTCTCCCAGGGGCCACCCAGAATAAGGGCCTGAAACCCTGGGTGCTATGACCTTGGAGAGCCCGCTGTGACCCTGGGAGCCTGCTGTGACCCCGGAACCCTCCTTCCTTACCCGCAGCACTGGCTGTAGCACTGTGCTCTTGCGAGTGGCTCTCTTTAGACGCTCACTGGCCAGCTTGCTGCCCTCCTCATGGCAGGCAAAGGCCCGAGAGGGGCTGAAGAGGGCCTCCCTGCTGGGGGTGGCCCGTGGCTCTGCACGCAGGCCACCCTTGGCCTTCTTCTTAGCTGGTGCTCCCTGCAGCTTCCGCCCTGGGGCCCGATCCCGCTTGGCCTCGGCCTTCACTGTCCGCCTCCTGATCTTCACCTCCCCCTCGGGGCTGGACAGGCGGCAGGACCCTGTGGGAGGGAGGGGTACTATGGCAGGGATCTGGCTGCAGAGTCCTGGTTGCCAGGCTGAGCTGGGCTGCCCTCGCCCCTGGTTACCGAGCAGGCCCTGCCTCTCCTCTTTCTTTTTGGCCTTCTGGTTGGCCTCCATCTTGACCACGGAGGATGGTGAGGGCCCCAGCACGGCCACACCGGGCCCTGTGTGCAGCACCAGCCCAGGCTCCCTGGGTGGTGCCTCTGTCCCGCAGTCCTCACTGTCATAGCCGCTGCCTGGGAGAGAGGCAGAGGGGTCCACTTGACTGTGTGCAGTGTCATGGTAGTGGGTAGGGTGGGGCACCTGGCACTGTAGTGGGTCTGTGGGGGGCTGTGAACGGAGCCCTGTCAATGTCACCCTTGCTGCTCTATGGGCTATTAGGAAGCTGGGGCCTATAGGCTGAGGATGTCTAGCCAGGGGTAGGGTCGGGCTCTTCTCTGACTGCCTGAGCAATGGGGCCCCCCAGTAGGGCTGGGCCTCTTCTGGCCTAGACGCCCAATGCTGCCTCCCCAGCCTGAAGCAGCCCGCTCTTTGTTCTTTCTCAGGGATCTGAGACCCCCGCGCCCCCCCCAACCCCAGGAGGGGGCTGCAGGAGGAGGAAGTATGTATTTTTCCAGGCTCCTGTTTCTGGATGTGTGTCCACTGAGGGCTAGATAAGCCTTCGGGGTCAGCCTGGCCTGCCCCTGCCAAGGAGGCTAGAGCAAGCGGGAGGGCTATTTTTAACCCTGTTTTCCGGGATGCAACGGTAGGGCGGGGGGGGGGGTTCTTTCCTCCCCTAGCCCAGTGTGGAGGTGCAGCGTGCAGACAGCCCCTGTGTTGCCTCAGAGACATACAGTCTCCCTCTGTGAAACCCTCGTTTCCTTAGCGAGACTGCCTGGCGAGAGGTCCTCCCTGGTCCACTATACCCGGTGAGCCCCGCCAAGCCCCTCCAAGTGGCTGTCGACACTGAAAACTTGCCTGTCTCATGGGATGAGGCCCCCACTGGCTGGATGGGGAACCTGGGCAGGTCCCTGCTACTGTCACCCTCAGGCTGTGGGCGCCGGGCTGCCCCTGGGGCCTTGGTGCTCTTGGTTCGGGACAGCTCCCTGCGGATGCGGCCCTCTGGGCTGACCTCTAGCCGCTGGAAGGGACCGAGGCCTGTGGGCAGTCCTCTGCTTTTGACCTTTGGCTTCAGCCGAGCCGCTTTCTGGGCCACCGAAGACACCAGCCCACTCTGGCCGCTGCTCTTCTTGCATCGTGCCTTCTCCTGTGAACAGGAGGTGACAGCGGCTTTCAGGGCTGCTCCAGCCTGGCCCCTTGCCCTTAAAAGGGACTGAGGGGATGTCCAGCCTGGGGACACAGGCCTGTCGTATGTACCCGGCTGCACAGCTACCCACTGCCTGCTGTGGGTAACAGGAGGCCCAGCTATGAGCTTTTTTAATGGAGGAGGGATCAGAGCAGGGCATCCTAGACAGAAGAACCAGCCCCTGACCTGGGCAGACAAGCAGGGTGAAGGACAACAGGGAGCCCACCCACCATGCCAGGTGTGTCCTGGCCGTGGATGCTGTTTTCCAACTCCTAGGCCCTGGCTCCAGCATAGCCTTTCTGCTATACATGTGTGGCAGGAGGAGCAGAGGTGGGAGGAGTATCCTGGAGCAGAGAAGGGCCAGCTGCCAATGGGACTCGCCTGCAGGTGTGCTGAGGAGTTACAGCCCCTTACGACACCAGTGGGTTCAGGGGCTTGGCTGCTGTGGGGGAACTGGAAGCTCGCGGCCTTTGCTTGGCTTGCTCATCTGAGCAGTGGGACCCACAGCTGGGTGTGAGCAGAGGATTGGGGTAGGCTGAGGCCATGGGACTCACCACAGAGGCCGCCTGCAGGCCTGCGTAGATGCTTTTTTCCAGTCTGCGCCGCTTCTGGGTGGGCTCACGCTCGCCTCCCCGCAGCTCCACGCAGAGCCTGCTCAGGCTGGTACGCACTGCCCTGGGGGCCGGGTGGGGGGCAGTGTGGGTGCAGGGCTGAAACAGGCGCTGTGATTCCCCACTGACAGTCCCCGAGGGTGGACTCTCTGCCCCCAGGGGCACCTCTACCCCATGGAGGGACCTGCTTCAGGGATTCAGAGCCAGTGGTGGGCTTCCTATGAACCTGCTGACCACCAGCCACCGCAGCCCAAGCTGTTGCCTGTCTCCACCCCTGCTGGGCTGTACTGGGAATGGGGACATTTCTGTTTCTTGTACCCCATCCTTTCACCATGTTGGGAAGGCCTCTAGTCAAGGTCACCATGACCAGAGGCCAGGCAGCAGGGCCTGATAAGGGCCCTGGCTACCTGGGAGGCAGCCCTGTGTGAGCAGGGGCCATGGCCTCAGCCTTTCCACCTGGAAAACAGACAGGGATGTTGTCTCTCTCTATAAGGGTGGATGAGGACTGTGCAGGTATACGCCTGGCCCTTGGTAAGTGCCCAAGGCCAGATGCTACCAGGCAGGAACAGAAGATACTGAGCAGGTCTGTGAGAACAGGGTCCACTCCTAACATCTCTGCTCTGCAGGAAGAGGGTGGTTAAGTCTGAATCCCATGGGATAGGGTGGTGGCCTAAGGGACCCCACTCCCAGGCTCAGACCTTCCTGGGAATGCTATCCCTTGCCCTCCACACAGGTCTCCAGGGAGGACACCCTGTCTCCCCTGCCTAGCTCCCAGACAGAACCTGGGAAGTTGCTGAGACCAAGCCTCAGTTCCCCATGCCTCATGGGTGTGCTGTCCCCCTAGGTTAGGGGTTGGGAGGGCCATCCCAATAGGCCCAGTCGCTGCCTGCAGAGCAGACACCCTGGAATACACCCTGCCTGACTCCCACCTCCTGGAACCCCCACCTAGTGGGGGCACTCTACTTGATGCTGTATAAGGCTTACATTCCCTACACCCTCAAGTGCCAGGTGCATGACACACTGCCCCTCACCCCAACTTCCCATGTGGAAATTGAGGCTGCAGAGGCTCATCTGCCTGTCCCTGGCCAGACAGGGACTGAGGGCTGGCCTCCCCCACATGCTGGCTGAGCCCAGGCTACTCATGAAAACGAGTCACACACACAGGTTGAGAGGCCCAGCCCACCCTTGGCCTTATGTGGTCACACATCCCTTTTCACCTTCCTGACCAGAGAGGTGGCCAGGAAGGAAGCTACCAAGGCTCCTGTAGCCGTGCAAGGCCCTGGCCCCAGCCCCAGTCCCTCCCACTTCCTGCAAGTAGGAGGCCTGTCCCCTGGGCCCAACTGTCAGCCAGTAGCACCGGGCCCCATAGGGCCCCAAGGCTGGGATAAGCATGGGCCAGAGGAGGGAGGGAAAGGCAGAAGACCTGACCCTGTCCAGGCAGGGAGCCCTTTCAGCGGAGGCCTGCTTTCTCAGAGTCAGGGGAGAAAGTGGCTTCCAGGCTGGAGTTTGTGCTAGGTAGGCTCTACACAGCCTCCCAGGAACAGACTCAGCCTCTAGGGGCCCCATCCTGCCCAAAAGCCCCCACAGGGCTGGCTGGTTCTCAAAGGAAGAGCCCTGGAGACCCCTGCCAGGTGACACTGGACAGGGCAGGGGGACAGCTTGGTGCGGGGCAGGGGGGAGCCATATGATGAACACCCCATCACCCACAGCCCATGAGCACCCCCTCTCCTCCTCTCTGTAACCTCTGCATTTGCTAATGTTTTGTGACATAAAGCCCTGAGATTAATTTTTTGCCTCTGTCTTAATTGAAGGAACCATTTAGTGCCGATTTAACTATTATTACCAAATCATCAGGATTGATGCAGTGCGTACACGCGCGCGCCAATCGTGTTTGGAGGAGCTTGGAGGATTTATGCAAATGGGCCTGCCGGGAGAGGCAATTTGTAGCCGAGAAGGACAATTATACCAGGCCCGGGAGTGCGCCAACGACTGCGCCGGGCGGGTAATGGATAATAACATCGAGCGGCAGCCGTGAGCAGCACCGCAGCGTGACCAACGGCTTTATACGGCGCAGATAAAGAGGCTTTTACGCAACGCCGCCTCGAACTCAAGGGGGCTGGATGGGGGCACCAGTGGGGCTGACGCCACGGCCTTGGCCACACCAGAGTGAGGAGTTGGTGTGGCCAAGCTGGGGGGGGGGGGCTGTGGCTTCCCAAGGAGACTGGCCCATGGTGGTGCCAAATGCCAAGGGTCTGGCCAAGGGAGGGGGCCCCTGACTCAGGGCCTGTCCTAGAGCAGTGCTCTATCCAATGGTCACTCATAGTGTCCCAGCATTCTGGGATGGGGAGTGTTGACCTTCAGAGAAGGTATGACGGGGGCTCCAGCAGTCCAGAGAGCTGGGGGTCAGAGAGGAGCCCAGATCCTGCTGCCCAGGCCTCAAAGCCCCTGGCCAGCCCAAGCCCACCCACAGTGCTCTGTGGTGGCCCCAAATCCAGGACTCACTTGACTTTCTTGCCATCAGTCCTGGCTAGCTGGCTCCCAGGCCGCAGGGCAGGCAGCAAGTTGGAGTGCTTCCGCTTCCTCGGCCGGCCAGGCCCCCGCCGTGCAGGGCTCCGAGAGCTCTCCTCTCTCCTGGGGGCCAGAGGAGAGGCAGTCAGAGGCTCCTGTCCACCCTAGCTCCCTGCAGAAGGCACTGCCTGCAGGGGGGTGCTGGGGTGGGGACAGATGTTCCTAGGATATGGCTTGAGGAGTCAGGTCTGCAGACAGAGGGCCAGACAGGCGCACCCCACCTCCTGCCACCACACTAGTCAAGGTAGCACACACCACCCCTGCTGCTCAGGCTCTGGCTTCCTAGTCCCTTTCTGCCACTTCCCCCCATAGCTCTGGGCCCTCTATAGAATCCCCATTTGGTTTCTGTGCTGGCAGAATGCCTCTCCTCAGCCTCATAATAGGCAGCCGCAGGCAGCAGGCAAGTGGGCAGAGTGGGGCCTGCGACCATGGGGAATGTGGGGTGGGGCTGCACCCAGCCTTCCGCCCGCCCAGCCCCACATACTGGCGGTCATGCCTGCGCTGCAGGCGGGCCAGCTCCCGTTGCTTCTCCTTGTAGCGTCGCTGCAGCTCCGCCAGCCGCATGCGCATCTCTACCTCCTGTGTGTCCAGCCGGTCGATGGCAGCCTTCAATGGGCACACCTAGTAGGCCAGGCATGGGCCGTGAGTCAGACCAAGGCCCCGGATAGGGCTAAAGGAGCAGCCTGGTGCTCAGGCCCCCACCCTGTACACCCCAGCTGCATGGCAGCAGCACCCACTCACAGGTTTGGTCTTGGGGGCCCAGGTATCTTTGCGCTGCAGGATCTGCATGCGTGGGGTGAGCCGGGGGCCACTGCAGGGCTGCCCAGTGGAGGGCTGTGCTGAGGCAGGGGGGCTGTCCAGGCCAGCAGCCTCCACCAGGGACCAGGCTGTGGCCAGTGTAGCCAGGTGCTGTAGGTTGAAGGCCAGCACATCCTCCTCCTCCTCTGCAGAGGGACAGGAAGGTCAGTGTGGATGCAAGTGGGCACACATTGCCCCTCCATCTTGAGCTTGGCCCTGAAGCTGCCCAGCTCCCCAGGATACAAGGAGCAAGGACAAGGGTCAGGGCCCCCAGGAAGGGTGAGATGGGCACCAGGGCAGGTGCCTACTCCCTGTGACTCTAGATGAGAGAGAATCTCCCTGGCTATAGGGCGGAACTTGCTGAGGGGGCACAGGACCCTGGAGCTGAGCCCACCCCTTCAGAGAAGGAGACAGAGCCCAAAGTACAGAAGTAAAGCAAGACACATGTGACAGCTACTAGCGGAAAGGCCATCAGAGGCCCCGAGGCCCAACTTTACGCTGCAGCCCTGGGACTGACACTGCCTTCAAGGGATTCAAAGACACAACAGTGGTATGAGCGGCTTTAGAACAGCCATAGCTGACACTGGGGCTTAGGACACTGAGGCTTCCACCATGAACCAAGTTCAAAGTCACATGGCCAGATGCTGCAGGCACAAGCTCCTAGGCTTCTCTAACTGCAGGTAGCTCCAGAGGCTCTGTCCAGCACCACAGTTAAGAGCATCCCACCATCTGTCCATCCCATCAGGAGTCCTCTCCCTCCACCCACCCCATGTAGCTACAGCGGTGTTTACAGCTGATGGAGGCTGGACCTGGCTCAAGCTGCAGCCTTAGCCCAAGAGGGCACCTATGTTCCTCTACCTGTCTCCTCCCGTAACTACTCCCCTGCACCCACCCAGGCCCGCAAAGCTGTGCTGGGTTCCTCCTCATTCTTCCCTAGGTATAGAACACTCCAGCAGGCCTCTTATCTAGGCAGAGCAGGGCACAGATGACCCCAGGTAGGGAAAGTGGCAGGGGAGGCTGTGTGCCCTGGGGTCTCAAGCTGGGGTGTGGTGGATGGGGGTTGTCCTCACAGTGATCAGCAAGAACAGAATCCTGGGCCAGGCACAGCGGCTCACGCCTGTAATCCTAGCACTCTGGGAAGCTGAGGCAGATAGAATGCCTGAGCTCAGGAGTTCAAGACCAGCCTGAGCCAGAGTGAGACCGTTTCTTAAAAAAAAAAAATAGCTGGGCACTGTGCAGGGTGCCTGTAGTCCCAGCTACTTGAGGGGCTAAGGCAAGAGGATTGCTTGAGCCCAGGAGTTTGAGGTTACTGTGAGCTATTGAGCTATGACGTCATGGCACCCCACTAAGTGTGACAAAAGGAGACTCTGTTTCAAAAAAAAAAAGTAAAAAAGAAGCCTGGAACAGTGAAACTGGTGTTATAGCCCGTGTGTGTGTGTGTCCCCGTCCCAACATGGGGCAGAGCTTGAACTGGCAGAGTGTAGTGCCCATTCTGACAAGAGGTCTGGAAAGGACACTCATGGCCCTAGCAGAGGGGCCAACCTCAGGGGGGGTATCCACAGGCTAGTTCCACCGGATATCCATAAGGGTCACAGGGCCAGACAATTTGATGTTGGGTGGTCATGGCCAGGAAAGGGAGCAGACCAGGAGGGCCCCTGTGGGGTCAGAATGGGGGTGGTAGTGTCTTCTTGGGCACCTGAGAACACCAATGCCCTCAAGGGAGAGCCCTGGTAACACTGACCTGGGAGGAGCTTAGAAATCCTACCCTCTGCTTAAAGGAACCTTGCTCAAGGGGGCAGAGGGTACTGGTCAGTGAGCTACCTGAGCCCAAGCTGGAGGACACACTTGGCAACCCCAGGCCCAGGGGCAAGTACAAAGTGACCAGCAGACACTTCTCAAGTGCTGGGGCCAGATGCCCCATGCAGGGTGAGGAGGCAGAGAGCAGGGACCAGGGCTTAATTCACCCCCAAGGCCATGCTAAACCAGGAGGTGCCCAGAGTAGACAGTAGATGCCCAGACCTCTAGAAGCATGTCTTGGGCCAAAGCCACAGACATCCAACATAGGAAACCCTCAGCCCAAAGACGGCATGGTAGAGAGGAGGGCAGCTCTCTTATTGGAGTGAGCTGAGCTGCCCTTCTCAGCAGCCAAGGAGGCCCATCTGCAAGTCCATTTCTGTGAAAAGTGCCAGGTCTCCTGGTCTTTGGGGGCCATTGCTATCGGTCAGAGGCCCCCATGCCTTCCCTATACTTGTAGCCCCCACCTGGTCTCAAAGATGATTCTGCAAGGCCTGGGGGTAGGTTTGGGCCACTGATTTGCCCCTCTGGGCTCATGCCCTACCCCCTGGACCCATGCCCCATCCCTTAGGTCCCACCCTCAGGGTCCATGGGCCACCCCCTGGGCTCTATCTGGCCCCACCCGCAGGACTCTCCTCACTTTCTGTCTGTGAGAATCCAGCTCCTTGGCATAGGACGGGGCTCACCTAATTTAGCCAAAGAGATCACTTCACTTGCAGGGACAGCTCCAATCTGAGCAGCTGCACGAGACCTGGCCATTAACTGGGATACAGAAAGGATGGTGGCCCAGGGGCTCAGGAGCAGAGGTTAGGGTGGGAATAGAGCTTTGGTAGCTTGCTGTGACTGACTCCTGTCATACACACCCTGGGACCATGGCAATGGCCAGATTGGACACTTATAACACCCACACTGGGTTATGCCATGAGACTTTCCACCATGAACACGTGGTCTATATGTATTTATTCAATGATTGGGCTCCAGTCCAGCAGATCGGCTGCCCTGGCCACAAATATACAGTGCCTGACATCTCCTAGGCACCCCCTTCCATGGTGGGTCCCTAGCAGCTCAGACCTGCCTTCCCACATACGTGACCTGGAGGTCCATGCAAGCCCCTGGGATGCAGCTGAGTGCCCACCCCAGCAGTCCCTCCTGGGTGCACCCTAAGGATAGAAAGTGCCCAGTCCTGCCCAGCAGCAGCTCCTGCCCAAGTACAGCCACAGGCCTGGCTCTGCAGCCCCAGCATAGGAGTGACACAGAGGTCTCGGGAAAGTTGGCCTCAAAAGAACATTCACTTCATCCTGCCACAGGCAAGGTGGTGGAGCTTGCAGCTGAGGTGGTGAGCATTATGCGTCAGGAAAACAAGTGACTGAGCCCTGGGGACTTTTCAGATTTTCTGTAAATATCCACTTGCCAAGCTGGCACTCTTCTCCCCCTAAGGAAGCCTTTCTTTGGGGGCCAAGAGGAAGATGGTCACAGGAAGGAAGGGCTTTGTAGGAGAGCAGCTGCAGAAACAGGGGAGATCTGTTAGGGTGCCCCTGTCATTCTCCTGTCTCTGGGGCCCTTGGGTATGTGGGGAGCCCAAGAGCGCCTGGCCCCTCAGCCCTGGTGGTACACATGGGGTTCCTGACCGGGGTTGTCTGATGGCAGGCTCGTGCCCCTCTCCAGGTCTGAGTGAGGGCTGTCGTGTCTTCAGTTGGACCCTATAGGCCCAGGGACAGCTGCTATGAGCCCCATGGTGGAGCAGGTCTAGCACAAATGGAGAGACAGAGACATCCCTGCCCCCACTGTGAGACCCCAGTTCCACAACCTTACCCTGACATCTTCACATGTGAAGTCAAGACAGTGCTTGGGAACCAGCTGGCTGCTTAGTGACTCATTCACAGCAGCAGAAGGTGCACTCCTGTGCCCAAGCACCCTGCTAGGAAGTTGGCTAAGCCATTGCCAGGGGTGGCCTTAGCACCTGCCTGACTTCCAAGGATGATACGTGGAAGGTGAGGGGGACACTCCCTCGGGCCCACCACACTGAGGGGAGGCAGAGCCAGGGCCTGTGAGCCCAACTCCTAGGGCAGAAGAAGGGTGGCAGCATCCTCCAGGGCTTACCTGGTATGGCCTGCGCACTCCTTTGCCATTGGAGGTCCAGGTCGGCCAGCTCGCTGAGCAGAGCGATTCCATGAATCCCTGAGCTACTGGGCAGGGTGGCTGTGCTGGGGGACCTGGAGACCACTGGGGGCTGAGGGTCCAGCAGGTTGTTGCTTGGCAGGTCCCCCAGGTTGATGATGGCAGCCACCAGGGCGTCCAGGCCTGGCAGTGCTCTGGCTGGCGTGCTGTGGTCAGCAGCAGCCTCATGCTCCTCCTCTGAGTCCTCTAGCTTGGCCTCTGCAGGGGCTAGCTGCTCCCCCTCCTCACCCAGGGTACCCAGGCTCCCTGCCTGCTGTTCTCGGGCCTGGAGGGAGGCCCCCAGTGAGGGCCCTTGGTGCCCCTCCTCCCTTTCCTCCTTCTTGCTCCTCTCCTCCTGCGCCCCTCCCTGAGTAGAATGAGCCTGGCTATCGGCCTCGGAGCCCCCTCCCTTGAGGAGGATCTCACACTGCAGTTCTTGCAGCCCCTCAAGAGGGCTGGGGTCCACCGCTTTCCCCTGGGCTCCCCGCTCGGCAGGGTGTGGGGTGGTGGCAAGGTCCTGGGTGGCCTCCTTGGTCCCCAAGAGCAGCCCGGTATCTTCCAGGCTCACAGGGCTGCATGGAGGTGGCTCTCCAGGCAGGAACGTCCTCGTAGGCTCGGGCTGGGCCCCTGGGGCAGCGGTTTGCATAGTTTTGGGGTCCTCGAGGTCAGATGAGTGCATGTCTGAGGGCAAGGAGGAGAAGCCGGTGGTGGCTGCTGGGCGTGTGTACCCAGGAGGCAGGTCTGCAGGAAATAGGTGGGAGAGAGATGGGTCAAGGGTCAGGAGAGACTGAGGAACTAGGGAAGAGGGATCTGAGGCCAGCCCTCTAGGCCTGCAGGACTCATGGTAAAGTGTCACAATAATTAGGGGCCAGCACAGGTGCCTGATTTCCAGGCAGGGCAGCCTCGAGCCCCTCCTGCTGCCAGAGATACCTGAGGAACTGGAATGGTATGGTGTGGATCACCAGAAAAGGGGGGGACTCTTAAAACATGATGCTTGAATTAGGGTTTCCCTTGACTCAGCAAGCCTGCAGCCTAAGGCTTTATACCCCATTAATTGCAATAAAAAAGCAAAAAGCAAAAACCAAAAAACAAACAAACAAACAAAAACCAAAAAACAAAACTAAGGGGAAAATTCTTAAACCCCCCCGTGGCTGAATCTTCTTATTGTGAAACTAGGATGGGTTTTATGTTTGTTACATGGGTTTCCAGTGTCAACTCTCAGCCTTATTCAGAGAGGATGAAATAGGCTGATGGGCATGTGGGTGCAGGGACTTCTCCTCAGCTCTGACCCAGCAAAGCTCATCTTTTGCCCCTGATGGCCAATGACATGCTCCTTCCTCCTGCCCAGCCCTAGCTATACGCATAGGCCTTCAGATGGTATACGCATCACTCCAGAGACCCCAGGGATCTCTGGGCCTGGCCTCTGACCCATCTGCTGAGACCTGGGAAAAAGGCAGCCAAGACACTGTGTGCCCTTCTCATGAGTCATCCCTATGGACAGATGAGGGCGAGAGTGGAGGAAGTGTAGTGCCCCGACCCTGGTGGGGGCCCCTACAAGCTAGGGGCAGTCCCTGTAGTGACAAGTGGTAGACCTGATTCAGCTCTGCACACCCAGGTGGGCATGGAAGGCTGGGCACAGTGGCCAAGCCAGGCCAGCCTGCCCGCTCTTACCTGGTTCCAGTGAGGTAACACTGGTCCCAGGCTGATGGCTGTCCCCAATCTCATCCTTGGTGCTGGGCACCTTGGAGCCAGGCCCGGGGCTACCGGCAGAGCAGACGGATAAAGTGCACGGGGCGCTGGGCCGCGGTGGTGGTGTGGGGCAGCTGGCTGGAGGCTTCAGGGTGGGTGGGTGGCAGCAAGGTGGCAGCTTGGTAGAGCCTGTGGCAGGCGAGGGGGCGCCCTGGGCCGAGGGGGTTAAGGCAATCGGCTTGTGGGTGGACTTCAGGGCCTTCTCCTGTGTGGGTTCCTCCAGCTCCAGGGGGTGGTCCTCTGGCTTCCGCTGTCGGGGTCAGGAGACAGGCTCAGCTGGGCTCAAGCTCAACAACATGGGAGATATGTGGGGCATCCCGGGTCCAAGCTGGGAGGGAGGGGTCTGGGCTGCCCAGGTCCCATCTGGGTGTGACTGCCGGGCCAGTACCTGGAACTGGGCAGCCCGAGGCTGCTGATGCTGCTGTTCCTGGTGCTGCTGCAGGGCATAGAGCTCCTGTTGCCGCAGGAGTTGGGGGCGTGAGTAGACAGGGAGCTGACCTGGGTGCTGCATGTGGGGGGCAGGGCCCCGGCCCCCATACATGGAGGGCCACAGAGAGGTCTGGTCCATGACATCGGCTGTGGGCAGGGCCAGGGCAGACATTGGCTGAGCCAGGGGTGGCCTACCCCAGCCCCTGCCACAGTCCTCAGCTCACTTGGTTCATGGCTGCCTCCTGAGCCCTGACTGTCCCCAAAAGCTGCCCCTCCTCCCGATAGCCCCACAGGCAGGCAGCCTGGGCCAGGGCCTTACCAAGTGTGTGTGGGGCACTGTGGGGGGTGGGCTCTGAGGGCAGGATGACCAGCTGCGTGGGGGTGTCCTGGGGGAGGGGGAAGACGGAGGGCACAGGGCCAGCCACAGAGGCAGGGAAGCCAGGGGGCAGGTTCTGGTGTAGGGCGGGGTGCCCCAGACCTGAGGAAGGGCACAGAGGTCAGGAGAGGACCTCAGTCAGTCCCAGGCCAGCCTCCCCATGACCCCAGCACTGACCATAGGAATGTCCCCCCATCCATAAGGAGGGGCTGCGGGTGCGGGGCAGCCAGGGGGGGTGCGCGGGGTGGGGATGTGGGGTTGAGTCCCCACCCAGCTGGCCGCCCTGCATCATGAGGTGAGGGGCCAGGTCTCCGGGGCAGCTGCTGGATGGGTGCATCCGGGTGAAGTCCACGAGATCTTTGTTGTCCCTGCAAGATCACAGGGCTCAGCTCCACCATGGTCGACACCAAGGGATCCTGGAGCCAACAGCTTGGGAGGGGAGATCCCAGGCTGTGGGCCCTGCAGTGACCCTCATGGGAGAGAGCCCTCAATCCACCATGGTGAGACCCAAGGAGGGGCTGCATGAGGGGCTGCATGACCTGCCTGAGCTGGGCCACAGAACCTGCTGTCTGGTACTACATCTCAATCACACCCAGGTGGATACCAACCGGCCAGCCCAGAGGGGGGCTGGTCTCACCCCAAGGCCACAGCCAGGCTCTTACTGCAATAGCAGCTCGCGACTGGCCAGCCCCAAGCGATCATCACATAGCCGTGTCCTCTCTTCCTCAGCCTCCAGGTCCAGCACATGTGTGGAGCGGGCCCCCCCGCCAGCTGCACGGGGCAGAGATGGCAGAAAGAAGAGAGAGGGTTAGGGTGACCGAGAGCCACTGGCAGTGGTCCCGCTTTGAGCCCTGATGCACCAAAGGTAGGTCATGTGCCCTGGGGACTTCAGAGAGCAGGTGTGAAGGCTGGGTGGGCTCCTGGGGCAAGTCAGGGCCAGCTGGGCACCCAGATACAGCTTGGTCTTCCTCCCCCCCCAGGGTGGGGTGTACCTTTGAATGTGGGGGCAGCCCGGCCCTGTCGCCCAGTGTTGGCACCGTAGGCTGTCTCTGACCGGCTCACAGTCTCCTTTTGGCGGGCTAAGGCCACCGCGATGCCCACAGGCGGCTGGCGTGCCTCCCCATCACCAATTGGGGTATCATGCTCACGGCTGCGGGCACAGTCAGGCCTCTCTGCTGGGCCCGGGCCCTTGGCAGATGGGAACTTGGCTTCCTGCTGCACGCAGCTGGCCTTGAGGCCGCCCAGGCCCACGAATGGTGCCTTCTGGCCCACGGCCAGGGCCTGGTTGCTATACTTGAGCAGGTTCTTCATGGCCGAGACCTCGTCCGGCGGGGTGGGCAGCTCCTGGGACAGAAGTGCAGCTTGCTGCAGGCCACCGCTGAAGGGATCCAGGTAGGCACTGGATTTCTGCTCCTCACTGATGGCCATGGCTGTGCCTTGGCCTGCCTGGACACCCCACGGAGGCAGATGGGGCCCTCCATAGCCCAGAGAAGCCAGCTCTAGGGACTTGCGCTTGGCCTCAGCCCCGGTACTCCCTGGCTCCGGTTCAGGGGCCACCAAATGCTGTTGATGCCTGATCCGGGCCACCTTCTGGGTCCCAGGGGCACCAGTGGGGCCTTCCTTGCTGGGGGTCTTGTCTAAAGTGCAGCAGGCCTGGGTAGCCTTCCCACCCAGCAGGTCTTGGTGACCAGGTCGAGCACAGTCCTGCGAAGGGGTGGGCAACTCAAAGTAGGCGCTTTTGTCCAGACAGCCTTTGGGGAGACCTGGGAAGGTAGCCTCAGGGCCTGCACTGCTGAGATACTCCAAGCCCTTTAGCCGGGGGTTGAGGGCTGCCTCGAAGCCCCCAGGCCGCCGCTCAGCCTTGCCCTCGGCCTTCAGATGGGCATAGGAGACTCCGTATGGTGCAGCATGGTCGGGAGCTGTGGCCCCCTCCAGGTGGCGGTCCTTGCTCTCACCCGCCACAGCACAGGCCTCAGCTGCCTGGAAGGGGCGGCTCTTGTCGGCTAGGTGACCCACAGAAGGCACATAGGTGGGCCCGCTGGTCTTGAGGTCCCGAGGGACTTTGTCCTGCAGTGGGCAGAGACCATCAGGGCCTCCATGCAGCTGCAAGCAGGGATAGGAGCCCGTAGCTGTGCCAAGGGGCGGAGGAGGCCTGGCAGGCAGGCCCGACGGCACTGAGTAGGGTGCAGTGTGGTGCAGACTCTGTCGCCGCTCCAAGCACTCGCTGAAGGCTGGCCCAGGCTCCATAGGGCCCACCGCCTCCTTCACACAGCGTCCAGGGGCCACCACCCCTGTGCCAGGCCTCCCCAGCACACCCCCGGCACAGCTGGCCAGTGAAGCCTTGCTTATGTCGCTGTCAAGTGCCTTGGTGTTGAGAAGGCAGGAGGTGGGGTGCTTGGGGCGGCCCTCACAGGTGCCTCGGGGCGCAGGGACCCCCTCTTTGCAGTGCCCATCAGCCAGTACCAGCTTGTGCCGCTCCTTGCCGCCATCCTCCTCAGCTGCTGGCCGCTCCTTGCTTTCAACCACCTTGCTGGCCTTCTCTCTGCCCAGCTCCCTGCCCATGAGGAAGCGATCGAACTCCTTGGGGCCCTTCTGTAGAGGCCCAGCCTCACCCCGGTCACGGCTGCAGGAGCCAATGGGATGGGCAGGTGCAGCCCGGGCCACGCTAGGGAAGTTATGGTTGGCAGGCAGGAGGGCAGGCTGGGGGGGCAGATTGCGCAGGTAGAAGTTATCTGCGTAGAAAGAGACAGATCACAACGGAGGGCTCTGACACTTCCAGACATGCCCAGTTGGCACTGACTCAAGGTCACTGTCTAGGGAAAGTCTTTGTTTTGTTTTATGTTCTTCCCTAAAATCGTAGTAAAATACACACACACACTACAATTCCGTGCACTAAGTGCATTGGTGGTCTTGTGCACCTTCAAAACTTTCCATCTTCCCAAACCGAAACTCTGTCCCCATGAAACACTCACTGCCTCCCAGGGAGGTTTTGACTTCTGTTCTGCTCTGTTCCAAGGTGGGAGATGCACATACTCTGGCCCAGTGTGGAGAAGGTGGGGGCGCAGGGTGGGGTGAGCAGCACAGACACACAGGGTCTTCACAGACAGGGAGCAGAACCTTAGACACTAAGGACAGGTGTCACGAGGGGCTCTGGTGTGTCTGATGTGGAGGCTGGGTTCTCTCAAATCCTGGAACCCCTGGGGTGCTCCTCTACCCCCAGCCCTTCAGAATCTTTACTGTGGGTGTCTCAGGCTGGGGGCCTGAGGTGCTGGGTTCAAACAGGGAGGAGGAACACAGCAGCTGCACTGACCCCCTCTGTCTTGGGGGCTCCCTCTGCCTCACCGGGACCTGCTGCCCAGCCGCCGGCTGGCCAGGGGCACATCCTTTTGGGGACACACCACCCCCAATCTGGGACCAGGTCACTGCCTCTGGGGGGCTTAGGGGGGCTGCTTCTCCCCGTGCCCAGCTGGGTGGGTGGGCGGCAGGGTGGACGCCAAGAGCTGACAAGCGGGGGAACAAAAGGAACATTTGGAACTTGTAAAATTGTCCTCAGTCATGTAAATTCCTTGTCAATTTCCTGCTAATTAGAAACAAGGGGGAAGGGGAGCAGGACGGGGTAGCCCGGGAGAAACCTAATTAGCTCAATTTCCAAAACCAAATAATGTTCTTGGATGCAGCTCTACCACAATATTGTGAAAGCCGAGAGGCGGCCTGTGCTCCAGTGACACCAGCCGGCCCACTGCCCGGAGGGAGTCCTGGGCTCTGGATCAGGGGTCGGGTTTCCAGGCTGGGACCAGCACCTGCCCGCCTCTGACAACCGCTGTCAAAATAGTTGCACGTGCCGGGGCTGATGGCTGCTGTGGGGCTGGGGGATCCAGCCGCAGCCTGTCTCCTCAGGCAGCAGAGCCATGGACCCCCCCACCCCAGGTACTGTGTGAGGAGACATGGTTTTCCCAGGGTAAGACCTGACACTCCTGGGAGGCTGAGGGTGCTTCCCCCCAAGGGCCTTGCCTGCACCAATCACAATGGCCAGTCTAACAAGGCCAAGGCCTTTCTGAAACTCAGTGGACCATGGGCTCTCCCAGGTCCAAGGCGCAGGCAGGGCCCATGGGCACATGAGATCTGGAGAGGGGATGGGTGAAGCAGGGGCAGAGGGGCAGCTGAGGCGGAGGTGGGCCTCAGGCTCTCCCCAGCACCCACAGGTGTGGTCAGCACAGCCACCTCAAGGGCACAGCCAAAGTTCCATTGCTTCCTTCCCTATGGGGCGCCAATGGCCTCTCAGGTCCTGCCCCCACACTCTGAGCCCCAACCCTGAACACAGGGGCTCCCTGGGCTGGGGTTCTTTACCCCCTTCTCACTTGCCACAGGCCCTCTCCATGGAAGGGTCAGCCTTGCCGATCTACCCTTTGGTACTGAACCTAGTGCTTGTGTCCAGACCCCCAGGATGCCCCTGGGGACACCCCCACTCTGCTACATGGAGGCTGAACTTGCTCTTCCCCTCTGAACTGCTGCTCCCCAGGTCAGCCTGCACAGCCTGGGCCAGGAAGGACTCATCTGGGACCTTCTGTCCCTTCCTGTCTCATTCTCACTCCATTCTATCAGTGATTCCGGCCAGTGTGGGATCCCACATCTACATCCCGTGTCCTCTGAAACATAGTCACCAACCCAGTGGTCGTCCTGGGCCAATCTCCTGGCATTTTAGAGAACTTCTTAAAATACAAGTAAGATGTCACCCCACTCAGAGACGATTCAACTTGGAGACAGCGACTCACGCCTGTCCACCTCTGGCCAGGTTCCTAGGTGGGACCTATCCAGGGATGCCAGGCCTGTGCCAGCACTGGGCCCCACCTTTCAAGGCCTCCCTTGTTCCATCTTCTCAGCAGCAAAGATTTAAACTCTGTGTCCCTTCTCTGGAACGCAGAGAATGTCCCTTCTCTGGACATCTGCTGCCAACAAGGTGAGCTGACCCCTCTGGCCTGTCAGCACCGTCTGACTTTAGGACTGGGTAGGGGCTGGGGGTTAGGCCTCCTGGGGCCCAGGCACAGTGAGTGTAGGAGCCAGGAAACACTGGCTTCCAAGTGTGTGGCATCCCACATTATAGATGGTATTTCCTCCTGAGCCAGGTCCTGAGGCAGCTGGTGCCAGCCCTTTGGCTGTTTCTGCCTGAGCACCAGGATGGTGAGAGACCTGTGCACTTTGCCTGATACCAGGGGGGTCATGGCTCTAGGCTCGAAGCCCTGCCCAAAGATACCTGGTGGGAAGGGCTTACCTTGGGTGCTGCCTGTACCTGGCATCCCAGGTGCCCAGCCCTGCCACCCTCTGGGATGCCCTGAGCCCCACTGCACTTGCCTTTTTGGGCTCCATAGAAACGGTGCTGCCCGTAGAGAACATTGCTGTTTCCATGGTGATCCAAGTGGCTCACGGGTAGGAAGGTAGATGCCAGACTCCCCGAAAACCTGGGGTACCCCGGAGCTAGAGAAGCAAGAAAACTGGCTGTGGAGGCAACTTGTGGCCTGGCTCACACTCACCCTGACCCCAGGGGGCAGAGGCTGGCGGGAGGTCCAGGAGCGGCATCCCCATAGAGCCCGCCAGTGGGAAATCAACCCATCAATACATCATATTAACTCTGACTCGACTAATACTGTCCCTCTGGCGCAGTGCAAATTGAATTGCTGATGGGCTGGGGAGAGGGGAGGAGGGGGTCTCTGATTACCCTCCCAGCAGCACTTACTGCTGCAGAGCTTCCAGGCAGGGGAGTTCTGAGGTGGCAGGAGGTGCTCTGAGGGCTATCTAGGGAGGGCACCCAGCCCAGCTCCTAGCCAAAAGAGGGCCAGGGCCAGACTCGGCCTCCGCCACTCATACCATAACCCAGGCCCCAAAGGTGGACAGACCCTGGCCCAGCTGGGATGTGACAGGCATTCACCCTGTAGGAGGCCTAAGTGTTGTTCACCTGGGGAGAAGGCAGAGCCTCTTCTGCTCTGAGATCTGCAAGGGAGTGGGCCCCCACAGTGGCAGCATTGCCTCCCATTGCCCACATGGGTCCCCAGGCCCAAAAGCCTGCCTAGTGGCTCTGAGTAGCACCAGGCAGGCCCCTCTCTGGCCTGCGGGGACTGTTCCCTTGCTTCTGCCTAGCCACACTCTGGAGCTGCCCCCACCCCATCAGCCCTGGGCCGTGGGGAAGCTCTAGCCACTTGAGAGATACACTCTGTCCCTCAAGAAGGGAAGATAGCCCAGCCTACAGGATAGGTGGGATTGAGCACTGGCCCGGGAGGCCAGCCGTCTGCTGGATGTCCAGTCACCAGCTGCCTGCAATGGGGCTTCTTGGGGTACTCCTCTTCCTCAGGCCCAAAAAGACTCAAGAGGAACTAAGCCTCAGGCAGCACTCTGTAGGGTCAGCCCCCTCCCCAGTCCCCGACTTTGTCTGCTGGTTGCCAGCTGGCCCTCCCTGCTCACTGCTGCCACCAGGCAGCCACCAGGCATGGCGCTTAAGTCTCCCCAGCCTGCCTCATGTCTGGGGCCAGGCATCTGGCTTCCCTGGTCAGACTCTGAAGCCACCATTTGTGAAATGCTAGGTGGGGCTGGGGGGCCACTGTGGGTATATGGGGTCAGTGCAGCCTCTGCAGGCCTGAGGCTGACAGCAAACCCCGAGGAGCAGATGTCTGAAGCAGGACTCTTGAAGCATCAGCTTGCATGACACCCCCCCAGGAGGCCCAACTGTACAGATGCCACTGTCTGGGGCAGGGCAGGACTCTGTCTCCATAACTCATGCTTTGAACTACTGCTCTGAACATCTTCCTCTGAGGAAAACAGGCCCCAGTTTCTCTTGGGGACCTCACAATTTTCCCGACCCTGACTGAGTGAACAGGCTGCCCTGGCAGTATCAGGATTTCCCAGAGGAACAAACAACCACAGAGGCAGGGAGCAAGGAGGGAGCTTCGTGGTCCTGCGGGCAGGTCCCAGGTGCATGGATTCAGGCTAGTGACGTTACTGTATACAACAGAGTGCTGTGAACCACACACCTGGGGAGCCAGGCACCAGACCCCCTCAGCTCACAGAAAAGTCACTGACAAGTCCTGCAGTGGAGAGCTTGCTTTAATCTTGCTTTACTCTGTTTCCCAAACTGCTTTCATCACTAAACCCCAGTGTTGCTTCAGTGAGACTTATTAATAACTCATGGGCCAAGTGTTCCATGGGAGGTACTCTGAGAAACACCTCAGGAGGCAAGTGCCAAAGGGCAGGTCCAGAGCCATAGGACAAATCTCCAAGCCTGTACTGCCCACACCCTCAGAGGGCCTACACGTTGGAGCAAGGTGTGCTTTCTGTGGGTGCAGGGGGCTGTTCAGGGTGGGTCATACCATGGAACAGGGATAGTCCCTGGAACCTGGATCAGGGGAAAGGATGGATAAGGAGCCTCCAGGAGCATAGTTCACATGTGTGTCAATGGGGATACTCCTAAATACCCCAGGAACAAGGCCCAGTGCAAATGTAGCACCCACATCCTGATCCTCAGATAGCAGCAGGTGGCCATCCTCAGCCCCGATGATGCTGTGTGATGTTCTCCAGCTCAGTGGATCCTAGGCAGATCCAAAGGACTCTATCCCCAGGAGACCTCCAAGCAAAACTACCTGTGAGTCACACAAGCTGTAAGAATGCACCCCATGCCTGTCCCCACATGGAGTCCTGACAAGGGCATGATCATTGTAAAGGCTCTGAGAAGTCCTGTGACATGGAAGTCTGCTCTATGCAGAGGCTCGTGGGGGAGGTGCCTGCCCCTGGCCTGTTCCCTGCAGCCACCCCTCCTGTGGAGGACACGGGCCAACTGGC